ATGGTAAAAAGTACCGGATGCAACACTGTACAAAAATAATCATGCTGCAAAATCTGAACTCAATAACAAGCTGATCAATGATGAATGTAAAGAGATTAGAACCTGCACATGCTACAGTATGTGCAGTAGTATATGTACAACTACATACACTTGAACTTCTGGTGCCTACAGTGAAATCTGGAGTTTTTAAGTTGCAGTTGATTGACAGAGGATAATAAGAGCAAAAGACCCGGTAATTAATGGTGCTCTAGCTTTTTCTGGTTTGAAACTGAATATGAATGCTGTTTCAGCTGACCTAGTTTGTCAAAGTCAGTTCTCATAATTCAGTCTCACCACTTGGCCTTAGGCATCCAGGAATATTTGGGGGCTGTCCCATGTGTTGACTGAAAGTGTCAGGTCCGCTCGGCGCAACCTGCCTCTCTTTTGCCTTTTTCTGTCCTGCTCTTTCTTTTTTACGGGATTGGTGTACCAGCTGTGTCGCATGTTGTAATTAGTAACTCGTGGGTTGCCGCACACAGCTGAGGTGCGTTACTGTAATCACTTTCTGACCTTATTTATACCTCTGGCAGCCGCTCCGTCATGGCCGGAGCATTAACAGAACTTATACCAACATACCTGTGGATATACCTTTATTCGTGGTATGTGTTATATGCAATAGTGATTTCCACGCTGACAGGTCCTGTGCTGTGGATCTCATTTTGTACGTTGGTTACTTGTTGTTTTTCTTTTTGTGTGTAATATGTCTCTAGACGTCCACGCTGACAGTTCCTGTGCTGTGGATCTTTTTGTATGTTTTTTTTCCCATGAGGTTAGCCATGCGTTATTTTTATATGCACGCTGACAGTTCCTTTTTTCATTCACTACTCCCCCTAGTTAGTTTGTCTATCATCTGTCCATCCTGATCCTCCTACTCTCCTGGTTCCTGTCGTTAGCCTGTCTACTCCCCTGGTCATCCTGGTCTCCTCAGCTGTCTTTCCCCAGCCCCCCTCGTTGTATGTATTCATTGACTGTTCCTTTTAATTTTCTACTTAATTCTGAGCCCTCCTAATTAATCACTTTTACCCCAGATTTTACCTCAAGTTTGTTACCTTAGTATTTGGAGCTACTGAGCAGTTTCCTGCTTTTGCTGATGTCTCGTCCAAGTACAGCAGATCACTGTCCACTGCAGTACAAATCAGAAGTTTGCAGCTAATGGGTACATTCCTGGTCAGGCACCCAGCACTGTCAATAATAGCTGTACTGTTTGTTACTGGATTTGAATCCCTACTCACCTGTATCTTGCCGGGTGTCTATAGTGAATGTCTGGGTGCAGCATCTGACGGCCTGCCAGGCCAAAATGCCCAGGGCCAGCAGCAGGAGAGTGACAGAGAGACCCAGGATACAGTACTTGATTGTGTCTGAGAACGGCAGCAATATAACAAAGAGTGAAAAATTTAAGGGGGTCTGAATACTTTCCGTACCCACTGTATTTCTACCTCCATGTGGCTTAAACATTTCTCTGCAAAACAGGAACACAGCACATGTGCAGACCATTGGGTTTTAGGGTGGCTTATTTGGCTCTAGTAGCCACACTGGAGGGTCAACCATCAGACAGCAACAGCATCAGGAATAGATTATTTCTCCTTGTTAGCTAGTCACATTATTTGGTTACATATGTGCAGCAGGACAGAAACCCACTGAAGTATTCATATTAGCTAGCAGTTTAACACTCGCAGTAATGCTGCACCAGATAGCCCACCTGACTAGCTACAAAAAGCTACAAGCACACCATTTATTTCATGTTGAAACATGGTTGAGGGTGTTAGAAATTAATAAATTAGTCAGATAATTATTAGACTTTAATGTGTTAGACTTTAATGTGTGTTAGAAATGCAGTTTAATAAGATTCAAAGTCTGCACATGTCTGCTCTGCTTCAAGGTTAGAAGATAATGTTGATTCTGAAAAATGTACCTTGACACCAGTTGTTTTCTAGTATTAATCTTGTGTAAGAATTATGTCTGAATGGATGTTTTAGTTACACATCACGCATACAACATATGCACACACATGGAGTTCTTCATTTTGTTATGTTCAGCTTAGTGTTGTCACGATACCAATATTTTGGTACCGGTACCGGTACCAAAATGTATTTCGATACTTTCGATACTTTCGATACTTTTGGATAGTTTTTCAGACAAAAAGAGAAGGCAAAAAATGTCATTACTGACTTTATTTTAATAGAAAATCTTAGAATAACATCAAAATAAAATTCGGAACTGGGGTATAACAAGGGAAATGTGACTTTGATAGCATGTATCATGTTGACAGAGGATAATTTGGCCTGTAAATGTGGTCCTGAAGCTGAATGTGTTGAGACTGGACATGTGGTTGAAAAACTGTACAATATTTTCAACAGAGACAAGTGACGTGAAAGTAGTGTGATAGTCTCCATTTCTCTATTCTTCATATTTTCTTTACATAAGGTTCTGCAGAGGGACCTCTTCCTGCGAATGGACAATGTTTACACCTGTACATATCAAGCATGAGGAATTCATGACCTGATACTGATCAACAAATTCAGCCCTGCCTTTAGTTTGAGTGCTGAAATGATCGGTGTATTAACCATGTTAGTTGATTAACAAACAGATAATTAACAAAAGCATTATTTTCTCTGGTGTGGACTGTTGCTGTGACAAAACAAATTATTGAAAATGTCAGTTTGGACTGACATTTTCTCTATATTCTTACACTTTTCAGACACATGAAGAGATTTATCAAGATGTGGTGTGGCATTACATTTACACACAGTAGAGAAGGAAAATCTAACATGCTGATCAGCCAAAAATAAGAAGGCACACTGGGAAACAAAGATCACTGTCAAAACACAGCATGTGGTACATTCTCATGATATGTCATAGTAGGAAAAATGTATATGTAATTAATACAATAGATAATGGCTGAATTCCACTTAGCTGCTTCAGTTTCAGAGTCCTGGTAGAGCTACAGGGTACAGTCACCCTTTACCATGTTACATACCTGTATCGCCGCTGTAGAGCACAGACAGTGACACACACACACACTGTGGATACCTACTGTATGTACAGTTTGAACAGATGATCAGGCTACAATATCCTTGTTCCTGCCAATTTGGAGCATAGTGTGATTATTCCTTGAGGTAACAAACACTGGTACAACTGTGGCTTGGTCAGAACGACACAATTACCTCCTTATCAGAAACAGTTTAGTGAAATAGCACGTGTCCTGCTCACACGTCATGTAAAACATGATTGCAAGGAAAACCCTACAGCAGTGGTCCCCAACCTTTTTATCACTGCGGACCGGTCAACGCCTGACAATATTCCTGCGGACCGGGGGGGGGGGGGGATACGTAGATTGTTTACATTGTAAATATTATAAAATATTATAATACATGTGAATTCACTGTGTACTTGTATGCAACTTTATTAGCAGCTTCCTCGTAACATTGCGCCAACAACATAACATGAGTATAACATCAAAGTCTCAGTTTTCAGTGCTGTGGTGGCGATCTCCTTTAATCCAGAACACCGACAGAGTTGTTGTCTCGAACATACTTTTAAGGCCGCCGTCATTTGCGATCTCCAGCAGTTGA